AAAATTTTTCTTAAGATTATCACGTATATAGTGTTCTGCCTGCATGTATCCCTGCATGCCACAAGAGGGCACCAGATCTCATTACAGATGGTTGTGAGTCATAATGTGCTTGCTGGGAATTGAACTCAGGATGGCAGAAAGAGCAGCCAGTGCTCTTAACTGTTGAGCCATCTCCCCAGGCCCCCACTCAAGGACATTTAAAATAAAACTCATTCAGCAAGGACTCAGTAACTCCTGAGCTCCTACCAGGGCAGGCTGAAAGCACTGACTGACATTTCCAGCTATATTTCTACCTTCTAGAAAAGTACAGTTTCATGCAGCGGGCTTTGTAGTTAGCCAAAGCATCCAAAAGACAAGCGTTCCAAAATGGAGAGTAAATGGCTAACAAAATTTTCAGCATTTCTAAGCAGGCAGGTGTTTATGATTATTCCCCCAGGTTTTAGGAGTGCACTGCCCACAGCATTTGCAGAGTACATGGCCACACATGACTATCCTGTACTACAGAGGCCACAACATGGCCACACATGACTATCCTGTACTACAGAGGCCATAAAAGCCTCACTTGGTGCAGTGCTGCAGCCGGATCTTTCCTCCATCAATGGAGCCAATTAATGACTCTATATTAGGATAGATGATAAAACATTGCAATGCACAGGATAATCTGAACTTCTGAACCTAAAGCCTACTTAGGGCAGTGGGCCCTCACCCATGGACACAATTCCCAGGAAACTCGCCTGTGCAACCTGGGGATCGCTGCAGATACAAGAACTCAGCCATGGGGCAGTCTGTTCCAAAAGGCACCTGGACAGAATGACTCACACTCTCCTTGCCATCCTATTTACTCTTTGCTTTTAGTGTTTTTGCCAGGGGTAAAAGCCACAGACGAAGACGTTGACTTTTGGGAATATTGGGCCTGTGCCAGAGAGCTCACTGAGAACATCTTTTAATTAATTTTGTTTTATGTGTGTAGGTGTTTTGCATGCATGCATATCTGTGCCGCACGTGCATGCAGAATCCAGAAGGCATCAGATTTCCTGGAACTGGGGTTATAGACAGTTGTGAGCTGCCACATTGGGTACTGGAAGAGCAACCAGTACTCTCAACCACTGAGCCCTCTCTCCACATCTCATCAGTTCATCTTTGCAGCAGTACTGGTACTTAACCCACCCAGTGCTTGTGTATGCAAACACAGCCTCAGGGTAGCGGCAGCCAGTCTCAGACCTAGGACACTAAAGGGTGGGGCCAACTCCTGTCGGGTTCACCAGGATGATTACCCAGTGAAGTCCTATAACTTCCTCACTGTCTGCTCATTTGTCAAAGTTTAACAGGAAGAAGTCCAGGGTACCTACGGTTTTTGTTCCCTGTTCGCATTTTGCTCTCACCTTGGTATCATTTCCTGTTGTGGGTTAGTCTTTATGTACACTGTAAAGACCTGCCTCTGCCCAAGGCATCTTCTGATTGGTTTAATAAAGAGGTGAATGGCCAAATAGCTAGGCAGGAAATAAGAGATTTCTGGAGACACAAACGTGGTGTGCCTAGCTACATGCAGGTGAAGCACACACATTAAAATAAAAATCTAATAGAAAATTTAGAAGAAAGCAGTATTAAAGGTGACTTTCTTGCCACCTCCTAAGCATTTAATACTGTTTGAGAAGATATACTGTAAAAGGTTGTAGTTCCTGACGCCAGCCCCTGCTGCCTGGTGCTCGCCCATGTTGCTGCTTTCTGTCTTCTCTGAACCACCACTCCCAATATGCTAGCTTCTGTTAGTTCTGTCTTCCCTGAAAGTTGGCAGGGGCAGGAAGATTGGGGGAAAAGAAAGAGAAACATCTAAATCCTCTCTCTTCACTGCTCTTAGAACGGAAAGGGAGGGTTGGAAGAACCAAATGAGAGGAGCTCACTGACTCAATGGGTTATGGAAATATGGCGTTGAGAGGGAGATGTGGGGAGTGGAGCCTGGGGGAGTGGAGATGAGTGAAATACAACATACACAAGTATGGAATTCCCAGAGAGTAAATAACAATAGCACTAAAAATACAGATCTCAAGTAGTTTCCTACAGTGCTGTCTAACAATCTGTGAGAGTGCATTTCAGAGGAAAGCAGAGAGCAGGAGAGAGAAGTCCAGCACAGAACTGGACAGCTCTTGTTCTCTATGTTTTAATTTTGTGAGACAGGGTCTAAGGGTGTAGTCCAGCAGGCCTACAACTTACTATATGCATCTCCCAGCAACCCTAGCACTTCAGCTCCTGAGCCCTGGGAGTAAGGGTATGGACCACCACACCCATTTCAGTAGCCACCTGTCCTCAGAGGAGAGACGAGAAGTCATGTTCCAGCGCTCAAGCTACTGAGACCAGGAGGCAAGCTCTTCAGCCTGGGCGCTCAACGTCTTTCTCCCTCTTTTCACCTCTGAAGTAGCTCAGGGGATATCTTCTGGCTCTATTTTCACAAATCATGTTAGAAATTAATAGAATTTAAATGAATTCAAGTTTTCCTTTGGGTGGCCGTGGCACCTACAGAAGGCCAGAGGAAGGCTGTATTGATCGCTTCTACTTAATGGGAGTGGGGACCAGCAGGAGCTGAGAGGGAGAGTCAGCCAGAACACGCTCCTTGAGGTGTGTACTTTAGAGTTTGCTCAGAGCCTTTTCCTCTGATCTGCTAATTTGCGGTTCTATAAAACCATGAGTCAATCTATAAATCCCAGACACCCAAAACTGCCTGCAAAAATAACATACCTGGTCAGCTCAAACAAGTTACTGGCAGGAACCAGACAGACAGCTGCCAAAGGTTTGAGCTGAATGAGAAACTCTACTAAACTAAAATTATCATAATCATTTTTACATACTGTATAGCAATAGTTACATCCAATGCATCATGCAGTTCAAAAATTTTCATTTCAATACATCACTAGAAACAATTTTTAAACGTATTTTTTTCTTTAGGTAACCCTTTGTGAATGTGTATGCGTCTGAACTAGGGGGCAAACACTGTTTTCTCTCAGGACCATCCATCTTGGGACCCCACCCACCTTTTGAAGCCTGCAAGGACCCGAGGCTTGCAGGTTTGGCTAGGCTGGCTGGCCAGACTGCTCCAGGGACCGCCTATCTCTACCACAGTAGTGTTGGGATTACAAGTGTGTTCCCTATGCTGGGCTCTGGGGATGGCCAACAAGCACTTTACCAACTGAGCCATCTGCCGAACCCCAAGGTGATCTCAAGGTTATACACATTTAGACATACATGAGTTTCTGTTCATAAAAGTTTTAATCTTAGCTGGTATCTAAAAATAGCCACATGTTTATTATCAGAAGTAGTTAGATTTACAGGCAAAGTATCACTCAAAACATCCATTTTTATAACTATTCTTATTATAAAATTTAAAAGTGGAGCTAATGTAACTGTTCCAGAATCCAAGAAAGGGCAAATTCCTTGACAGCTCTGCTGACAGAGACATAGATGACCACATCTCACTGTACTACAACGGGATACTAGCATGGCATAACCGCAGGCCTAGAGACTACGATGGCACACAAGCCTGAGATGGCATCTGCGCCATTCTGGGAACCGGGTACTGGACTGAAAAGCATCTCCGGACCAGTGCTGGGTGTGGCAGACTCCTCTGTCAGGCAATCCCCAAAGTTCTGTCCCCGTAACTTCACAACAGACTTTACTGAGATTACCAATAAGCCACAGCAAACCACTGGGCTTATTCTCAAAGGGCCTCGGTAACCTGATTCATGCTTACGCTACTTTTATAATACCCCACAGGTTTTCAGATAATCTATGGTTGGCTCGGTTATTTATTAGTCGGGTAAACTTTTCTGTGACAGCTAGTCAGTCATGAAGTTTTGATCTTCCTGCCTCTGAACTGCTGTGCCAGGGCCGTGGGCTACCTTGTCATGTGTGCTAGTTTATAGTGCAGAGGAAGTTTAAAGACAGTTGGCTGCCCATAAGCTTTTTAGAATGTGAGGTACGCATCTTTATTATACTGCTGTCAATCAGCCCAGGCTCTGCAATGAAGATCTGAACGTGGGTAGAAAAATGCTGATTTCTGAAGCACTCCAATAGGCAAAATCATGGAAAAATGGGAAGTATGTAAATCACATGCTAAGAAAGTGTGCTTCTTTAAAATGAAATGACTGAACGTGTCTACAAAGGGTTGTCCCGGCATAAAATCTTTAAAACTGAATCTATAGAGCTGCATTTATCATTTTCTTTGAATTTGTAAACACCTGTCTTATAACATTTCCTATAGGAACTTATTTGGTAAAACACTCAAATCTATACATTTTAAGACAAATCAAAGGAAGGCTTAGCTTGATCTGCATTAAAGAATTCATTTGTTAGCAGAAATTATGTCTGATAAGATACCAAGGCCCACTTAGTGTCTAAGACACTACAACCTGGGACAATCCTGGTTTCCCAATACTTTTCATGAGATATGGTCTCAGTCTACAGCTCAGGAATCAGGCATGAGTCACCATGCCTTTCACTTGCAGTCACTCCCCTTGGTCACCCACCACTGAGGCAATGGGGAGAACCATAGGCCATTGTGAAACCGGCTCTGCACACTGGGCAAAGACTGAATGGTGGGAGGAGGCAGCACGGGCAACTAAAGGGGGTCTCCAGCAAACTCCATGCAGAATCCAGAACTACTGCACCCCCCCCCCCAAGCTGCCAGTGGGACATCCTTCACAGTGTTCCTTCACTGGCTGCTCCCAGCTCTGATAAAGCTCACTTCGTCAGCATTGTCATGAGATATAAGGAAAGAAACAGAGAGCATATAGGCTCGTGATCTTAGGTGACTCGGTCTCTGAATCCTCCAATGACCCTCACAAATGCCTTTTGGCTTTTGGTCAGTGCTCTTGACTGTCACTTGTAGAAGTCACGCTATTATTATTATTGTTGTTGTTGTTGCTAAGATCCTTAAGTAGCCATACAAATTGTACTATAATCATTAAGTTCTACTTGGTGTGATAGTAAGAAAATTCTACAAACCCCACCTGATGATCCAAATATATGGTGTTCCTTTGAAGATGATGTGAAAGAATTTCATTCTAGCAGCCATCAGTCAAGGAAAGAGGGACAAAGAGCAAATCATCAAAAGGTCAGTTGGTAATGAGCAAAAGAGCGTAACATCACAGCACACAACCTTCACAAACATGCTGTCAGGGCACAGATGACATCACCAAGTGTGTAAAATTATAGACACTGAGTTATTAAGTAGGAAAACGCTTGCAATGGCTTTAGCAGGTAGAAGCCTCACACCCTCCCTCCTCTCTCTCACACACACAGAAGCTATTAACCCTTTGAGAGATTTCAGACCGGCTTCCAACTTCCCCATCCTCCTGTACCACATCCTGAGTGCTGGGACCACATGTGGGAGCTGAGAAATATTATGCCTTCACTTCTTCCCCATAAGCACAAGGGTTTATGATGAATTTTCAGCTTACTGCTTCGTGTGAACACAGGCTTTCGGTACCTTACTATCCTATCAGCTGTGGAAGTCATAGTATGTACTGAACAGCGGCACTGTCTCGAGACCTCACTGAGCTCCCTCCTTCCTCCTCCCAACCAGCTGTGTTCTCTCGACTGTACAGCCATGAAAATGAGCTGAATTCTCAAAGGGTCAATAGGAGACTGTCATGTCCCTGCGAGGATGGTACAGGCTCATGCTAGACACCAAGGACACAGGATGCATTGATGAGTGATGACGCCCGACACACGTCTTCATAGCTGACCTTTGGGCTGTGGGCCTCAAGTTTCAGCTGCATGAGCTGTGCTAAGGTATGCTCCCGGATACTACTCAGTTCCGCTTGCTGCCGTCTCAGCTTTATGAGCAGCAGCGTAAGCTCCTCTGGCTGAAGGAGTACAATTTAAGAATCCAAACAGTGGAAAACAGATTAATTGTTGTCTTAAGTGACAGACATTAAACCAAGATTTCTTGGCAAGTTTCCTCTTACGGTTGGCATCATAGTGCCTAGGCACTATGATAGGTCCTACATAAATGCATAGCCATCTAGAGAGACAGAAGGAATAGTGTTACTTTACAGCAAAACAACAGGGGATGCAGGCATTTTCTCAGAACTCTCCAGAGTATTTCACAAACCCAACCATCACGCTTTGCACAGAGAACTGCTAACAACCGTTAAGCTGCTCGTGGAAGATGTCAGCAGGATGCTTACACCACACCTAAGACACTTCCAGCAACAAAACAAGGCTGGCCCATCCCACACCATTTCAAAGAACAAGTGAATAAAAAGAATTGCATTTCAGAGATGTAAAACTTGGGTGTTATTTCCAAACTCTAAGATTCGGTGTGTGAGGCTAGTCACCTTGGGTCATGTCGCCAATAGAGCTTCTGCAGCATTCTTACGACTAAAATGTCAGTCCTACTTTTTAGGGGGGAAAACAGGAAAGTAAATACTGCTCTGAGTGTCCCCCAGCACCCAGCCTGCACACCCCCTCTGGAAACGGGAGACTCTGGTTCCCCCGTGGTTACTATGAATCCCGAGGAGGAAGGCTTTCAACAAACAGTGGGTGAACCCCTTCACATCTGCAGAGCATGAGGGTGGGGAAAGGGGCTCTTCCCCTAACGTCCCAGGCCGGGCGTGGCTGAGCTCACGTTGCCCATGCCCAGCTCATTTGCTGTTGTGCCCCATTTTCTATACCATGAAGGTCTTTTGGAGATCCACAGCATGGTTTCAGTACTGCCTTCTGACAGGCACAGCGTCACTGAAGTAAACTACACCTTCCCACTGGCCCCTCAGAGGAAGGTGGCCACATACGGAAAGAAGGCAACGGGCTTTTATAGTTAACAGTCGACAGTGTTCAGGGCGTGTGACTTCAAACTGCAGTAAGTGGGGAGAAAATAAAAGCCCATCTGTTTTTGCTCTGAACTCAGAAGGGCACCTTGTGGCTTTATCCCCTGATCGTCATGCTCTGCTTTCGAGGTCTTGAGGGTAGAGTAAGGGACTGTTATACTCTGGTAGACTGGAATATTCTAAACTTCATGTTGATTTCTGACAGAAAATCCAAGCTAAACTAGTTTGTGTATGGACTAAAATGATAGCATTTTCAAAAGGACAGAAGACTATAAGGTAGCTGCACAGTCATATTTTGAGGCCAAAAAAAGAAAGGCACTATTGGCTGGAAAAGGGCAGGGGTGATGGTAAATAAACCTGATCCTGAACAGCCACTAGAGGGAGCAGAGTGGAAGAGAAAATATCAGACAGCCAGCAGTTACTCCAAGACAGCCCTGCTTCTGCCTGATTGATCCACAATCTAGCATTTAACAGTGCTTGGTTTTTTTTGTTTTTGTTTTGTTTTGATTTTGTTTTGTTTCGAGACAGGATTTCTTTGTGAGATCAGCCCACCTCTGTCTCCCAAGTGCTGGGATTAAGGTGTGCACCACCACGACAACTTAGTTTTTGGTTTTTAATAAAATATATTCACTATCTTTAGTAAACACATGGCAATCACTTTAAATCCAGGAACTATTTCCCTATTATCTAAATGTGTATGATGAAATATGACATTTGTAAAAAAAGAGATGAGTTTGTTTTGATTACTGTAGGAAGAGAATTTTAGATAATCATCATCATCAATCCTAATGTGTTAAAAATCACATCCCCAAGCAAACAGGACTAATCTATTGACAATAGAGTAGCCCAAAAAAGCATCCAGCAGTGTTGGTGATGTAATTTCAGTATTCCAGAGGCTGCATCAGGAAGACTGCTAGGTCAAGACCTTGCCTAAAAACAAAACAACAAAAAACAAGCCAAAGCAAAGAAAAAGCCACTTTTTAAAAAAAAAAAAAATTGAGTAACTGATATGAAAGATCCTCACTTCAAATAATAGAAAATATACTTGCTGAGGTTTTTTGTCTGATTCTCCCCTCCTGTATCCCAGGCTGGCCTCCAACTCTCAATCTTGCCTCAGCCTCTGGAATGCTGGGATTAAAGGCATGAACCATCATCATGTATAGTCTTTCTTTGTGTAAATACATAAGTCAATGGAGTTTTGGCTCTAAAGTGGCTGATTTATATTAAACTTCACAGAAAAGCCAAGTGAGGCAGGCAGTATGTTCACATAATCCCAACACTGAGGAGGCCAAGCAAGAACAACGACCCATACCAAGCTGGCTGCACATTCTATCAAGACTTGGTCTCAGAATAAAACAAAAGCACAGGGAAAAGACATCAGAAGGTCTGTTATGTGGCCAGACAGATGCTGGTTGGACTTCTAATTATCACTCCAAAGTCAGTGTGTGTGTAAGGAGTGGTCCTCAACCTTCCTAATGCTTGGGGGGAACCTAAACCATATTTTCGTTGCTACTTCATAACTGTAATTTTGTTACCGTTATGCATTATAATGTAAATATCTGATATGCAACCCCAAAGGGGTCGAGACCCACAAGTTGAGAACCACTGGTATAGGGGTGGCTGGTCTTGAATCCAGGTCTAGTATATCTTGTGCAAGCGCTCACCACTGAGCTACTTGGGCTTTTAAGAAACAAAACATCAAAAACAAAACAACAACAACAAAACTTCAACTAAGTAGTTTTGTATGCTAGGAAGTCATGGCTGGCCTTAACTCACAGCCGTTTTTCTCTATACCACCAAGCCTGCCTGGCTTTTATTTTGAAGATAAAGGGGGCAATAAATCAAAAACCCAGAGTTAAATAGTAAACTTTGAACTTTCTCCTTTATTCGGGCATTTAGGGGAAGGCAAAAAAGATGTTGACATGACTAAATGAGTCTACAATCTTCGCTGTACAATCTGTATCACAAAGGTAGTGCTGTTTTCTTCTGCAGGTGACGTCTGAGAATTCACACTTAGAAGCCATGTCAGCTTCACGCCTTTCTGGGCAGCAAATAAAGTAGGCAAATGATAAGCAAACTTATCACACTCACCGTTCTGCCTTGGAGGCTCTGGGGACTAACAGCCGCTAAGGCCAGGCCAGCTGGCATTGACCTTCTGTCAGGTACATAGGCATGCTAGGAAACAGAGACAACATATAACTCAGTGGGGAACATTCAATGTTATTGATGAATGATCTTAAATTTAATTACAAAATACCAATTACAACTGTCATTAGTGTTTATGAGAGGCACACCAACATTCCTTACTTGACTAAAATACAGATGCAAATAAAAAGAGCGATTCTACGAAAACTGGCTCAGCAGCACTCTGTCTCCTGTTCTCAGGACTGTGTGAGTGCGTGTGTGCGCGCGTGTGCGTGCTGCTGTTGTTTTTTCTGAGACAGGACCTCATGGACCTCAGGCTGGCCTCACACTTGATCTCCTAACCTACTAGTTTCCACTCCCCGGGTGCTATCCATATGGGCGTGAACCACTATGCCTGGGCCCATAGACACATAGTTTTATTTATTATTATTGTTACTGTGTATGTGTTTGCTGTCTGGGCCATGCATACGTGAGGTCAGAGGACAGCTCTGTGGCACTGGCTCTGTCCTTCCACCTTTATGTGAATGTAGGTCGCTAGGCTTACATAGCATCTTTACCTGCTCAACCATCTCACTGGCCCTGCTTCACACTCTTTAGAGAAAACCAATGGCAGGAGCAAAACAGCTGGACAGCTTTGCAAATTTTACTGTTTGGCTGGTTTCTCATACCTGCTTTTAGATCACTCTTGTCCCTAGGGTTTCTGCACTATTAATGCAAATAATACCTGGAGAAATAATTGATCTTATATATTCACAATTAAGAATTTTGGCTGGGCAGTGGTAGTGCATGCCTTTTCATCCCGGCACTCAGGAGGCGGGTGGATCTTTATGAATTCAAGGCCAGCCTGGTCTACAGAGCAAGTTGCAGGCCAGCCAGGGCTACACAGAGAGACCCTGTCTTTAAAAACAAAAACAAATTAATTAGCAGATTCACTTAACCTCCTTGATTATGAGACTTCCTGCTTAAAAACTGAAAAACAAAGGAAAGAGCTCGGGAAAAGGGCTCATGCCTGTAATTCTAAAATTTGGCAGGTGGGGGCAGGATGATAGGAAACTCAGGTTACCCTCCATTATATGGCAAGTTTGAAGTCACCCTGGAGTATATCATAACCTGTTCTAAAAAACAGGGCAAGGGCTTTGATCCCTAGAACTCACATTTAGGAAAAACATCCCAGTTCTGGACAAGGGAGACAGATGATCCCTGGGGCTCATGGACTAACCTACCCTACTTGGCAAAGTTCTAGGTCAGTAAGAGATCCTGTCTGAAAAAGGCTTGCACACATACAAAGAATCATCTTGAGACACTTTTAAATCTATTTTTTTTTTAAAGACGAATTTACAACGTATAACCCAACTGACCCTCAGCTGTGTGATCTTCCTGCCTCAGCCTCCTGGGTCTGGGACTGCACGTGTGTACCACCACACCCAGCTTAATTTTACTGAATCAACTTTTTGTTACACATCATTTTCTATTATCACATGTAATAAAACTGGAATGCACACAGAACATTCCTAGTGCATATCAAAGTGAGAAGTTGGTCTCAGTGAAAAGCAAAGGTTCGAACTGAGCATTTTCTTTGGGAGGCAAACTAACCTTTTTTTAAATTTATTAAAGATTTATTTATTTGTTTGTTTATTATGTATGCAGTGTTCTGCCTGCATGTATGACTTGATGCCAGAAGAGGGCACCAGATCTCATTACAGATGGTTGTGAGCCACCACGTGCTTGATGGAAACAGACTCAGAACCTCTGAAAGAGCAACCGGAGCACTTAACCTCTGAGCCATCTCTCCAGCCCACAAATGAACATTTAGATTCCACATGGATTTACGAAGCTGCAATACAGCCCGATGACAAAGCACTTTCCCACGAAGTACAGGGACCCATGCTTGATTCTCAGCATACAAGCCAGGGCCCTTAACAGCTTCTTTGTTTTTCTTTAAGATGTGTGTGTGTGTGTGTGTGTCTGCGTGTGGTACCCACAGAGGCCACAAGAGGGTATCAGATCGCCTGGAGCTGGAGTTAACCAAAGAGCTTTCTCCAAGAGCAGTATGTGCTCTTAACCATCCATTTCTCAGTCTCCAAACATTTTGATTTTAAGTATATTGCTAAATACTGCTAGATACTAATAATGAATATGAGTCTGTAAGAGATCTCAATGCCAGACAGCTATTTGGTTAGAGTGAAGTATTTGGTTAGAGGTGAAGTCAATACTCTTGCCCTTAATAAAGACAGAGCGAGCTTGCAGGCATGCCAGTGGGAAGGTACAGTTGTCAAGCATACAAAAAGTCAATAAAAATGAACAAGCGTGGTCTGGGGAGCTGGCTCAGTCGGTAAAGTGCTGGCTGTATTTACCAGTAAGAAGAGCCGAGTTCTGATCCCTACCAGCCACATAAAAACAACTACGTGTGACCACAAACATCTCTCATCTCAGTGCTGGGAGGCAGTGGCTGGCCAGGCAGTTAGCCAATGCAGGTCCAGTGAGAGACCCTGTCCCAAAGAATAAGGTGGACAGTGACAGAGGCAGATGTTCAACATTGAACTTGGTTTCCACACGTGGCTACGCACACCTACAAGTATACATATTCTTCCCCCAACCCCAGTGTGAACTGGAATGTAGTCAGCGGGCAGAATACTCTGCTGGGTGTGGTGTCCTGTGGTGGCTTGAATGAAGTGTCCCCCCCCCCCCCCCATAGCCGTGTGCGTGGGCCCTGTTTGGATTGGTTTAGGAGGTCTGGTCTTCCTGGAGGAAGTATGTCCCCAGGGATGGGCTTTGAGGTTTCGAAAACCACCAGCCCTTCTCACGCTGCTTCCTCCCCCTGCTTGGAGTTTGAGATGTAAGTTCTCTGCTGCTTCTGCTTCCTGATGTCATTTCCTCTCTGTGATGTTGATGGACTGCTATTAAATTGTAAGCCTGAACCCTCTTCCTTCAATAAGCTGCCTTGGGCATCAGGTTTTACCACAGCAATAGAAGAGTAGCTAAACCAGGTGGTGGTGGTACACACCTTTAATCCCAGAGGCAGAGGCAGGTGGATCTTTGAATTCAAGGCTAGCCTGATCTACAGAGTGAGTTCCAGGACAGGGTCCAAAGCAACAGAGAAACCCTGTCTTGAAGCCCAAACCCATAGTTCAAGTTATTAAAAAAGCTGAGGCAGGAGCATCTGGAGTGTGAACCCAGCTTGGGCAATGCAGAGATCCTGTCTCAAAATAAAAGCATTAGAGAAACATGTAAAGCTTAGGATGGGATTCTACACATGGGATTTTGACAGAATTTTAATTTTTTAAAGACAAAAACAGCCTTGTTAACTTCCCATTCTCTTTCCTCAAACTTAATTTCAAACAGTGTATTAGAAAGAAAATACAACATCCTTAAGCATGGAGTTAACATAAAATTAGTCTTTTACCTTAGGGTGATGCGCCCGGTGCCTGCGGTCTACCGTGACATCTCCTCTCTGGATGGGCGAGGACACTTCTGACCTATATGTTCGTGGCGGGGAGAATCCCGGGTAAGCAGCTACAGACCCATGGGAAGGTGATGTGGGGATGGAGTGCATCGTCTGGTCAGGAGGCTTCCCCATGGCCTTGGGGCTGCTCAGGCAGCTGTGCCGAGGGAGGGTGCTCTGCTTGTGGTAAAACTGGCGCTGCTGCCACTCATACAGCTGCCACATGGTGTCATCCCTCATGGACCGCCGCTTCTCTTCTGTTCCGGGCCCAGCCTTCTCATGGCCAGAAGGTGCCACACTGCAAATGCTCTCAGGCCTGATCTTGTTGTTTCTTGGGAGTGTTCGGTAACCTTCAGGGTAGCGGGCCACAATCTGGGCTCGGTGGCTTGGCATATTTCTTGGCAATGTTTGATAAGAAATTACTCTAAAATTTAAAAAAAAGTTGCAAACATGAAAAAGACGCAGTAAACAGAGAGAGCGGTTTCTGCAGTTTTAAGCGACACTACTTCCAGTTGCCCTGGCAAGTAAGTACGAGCTGCCTTTTGTAAAAGAACAGAGTTTAGGGGCAGCGCACTTGCTTGGCGGGTGCAAAGTCCTGGGTTTGAACCTCAGTACCCGACAAAGAGAAAGAAGAAAAGAAAGGGAGGGAGGGAAGACCAACTGGCCAAATGCTATATGAGGTATAAACTGCTCAGAAGCTAACGCTTTTCAATGAAACTCCATCTGGTAATGTAGATCCATAGACAGAATCTACGGCAATCATGTGTGAAGGTAAGTCCCACAAAACGGATTTGGCTTGATGCAGAACAAGTATTTACCCCACTTCAGATGGTAATGAGACTACCCAAGCTTTTAATCCCACAGTTTGATGGGTAGAGAGGTAGGAGAATCTTTGTAAGTTCTGGTTCATACAGTGAGACCCTGACTTTAAAAACAAAACAAAAACACTCTCTGCTCACCCCTAAACTGTTCCCAAAATAAGACAAAACAAAACCCACCTCCTAACATATAAGTAATTTTTTAAAAGATTTATTTATACAGTATTCTGTCTGTAGGCCAGAAGAGGGCACTGGATCTCATTATAGGTGGTTGTGAGCCACCATGTGGTTGCTGGAAATTGAACTCAGGACCTCTGGAAGAGCAGGACCTCTTAACCGCTGAGCCATTTCTCCAGCCCCCTAAATAAGTAAAATTTAAAAAGGGAATATTCAAGAACTAACTAACCTCAATTCTTCCCCTTTGTCTGCACAACTAGTTAAGATAGTAAGACCCTGCCTTAAAACAACCGAACAAAAAACCAAACAACAATCCCCTCATAAAACAAAAAAGCAAACAAACAAACAAACAAAAAAAAAACCCCACACCCCAAACAACCAAACGAAAAGAGTATGTAAGACTAAATTCTCGGGGCTGTACTTTCCCACAGAGCACAATCCAGCTGTTTCCAGCACACCACGCCTACTTTTGCTGCCTCCTCCCAGTGTTAGCTGCTTGGAGATGCTGCCACCACGTCAACTGGGGGTGAAAACTGAGGTGCAATCTACTTAACTATGTTCTTAAGAATATTTTATGTGTTTGTATTTATTTTATTTTATATGTATGAGTGTGCTATACATATATGCACATATATGTGCACCATTTTTGAGACTGGGGAAGGTGAAAAGAAGGAGGGCATGGGATCCCTTGGAACTACGGTTACAGATGGCTGTGAGCTACCAAGTGCTCTTAATTGCCGAGCCACCTCTCCAGCCCCTGCTTTACTTTTAATAATCTGAATCCTTGGCTGATAAACTGGAAGCTAAAGACTTACTTAAAAAAATTTAGTGTGTGCGCATGCCATGTATGTGCTGAGCCTATGGAGGCCATAAGAGTGTCAGATACTCTGGAGTTATAGGCAGTTGTGATCTACCCAATATGGGTGCTGGGAACTGAACCAGGTCTTCTGGAAAAGCAGCAAGTAATTTTTACCATTGAGCCATCTCTCCGGCTCTTCCAGAGCTCTCTGACACACACTGGTTACTGGCAGCAATGCATAGACACTACTCAACATGTGTGGTGGCATATTTCTGCACTCTGGAGGGATACAATAGGTCTGAAGCAGTTCGGGTTGCATTTGGGTTGCAATGAGATCTTGTTTCAACAACAAAAACAAAACACACAGTCCCTGAACAGATTTTACTGTGACCTAGTGCATTGGATTGGGTATATACTGGGCTATGAGGCAAACTACATACTTAGTTTCTATTGGTATGTAAAATTATATACTGTTATTCAATGAGAAATTCTCATTAGGTAGATAGAATATCTTCTCTGTGTGGCTGTGAACAATACTGCAGAAGAGGGAAAGGCAGAGTAGGAACAGCTGGAGGGAAGGGCACACTTGGGGGATAAAGGCAGCTGGATCTCTGTGAGCTCAAGGCCAGTGCAGTCTGTATGGTAAATTCCAGGCCAGCCAGGTTATTACATCCATATTCCTTTAATGTCTGACATTATAGAAAGAGTTTGTGAATGAAAACACAGCCCTCTCTTTTTCGCACTCATTATACCAGCAATTTCCAAATATTTATAGTTAAATGAGAAAAAGTTATCCCTTCTTTTAAAAAATCTGCTAAAAGCATGCATGTTATACATGAAAAATATTCCAACTACTCATCTACCGTAATGAATTAACTGAAACTAAAGGCACCAGGAGCTGGAGAGACGGCTCCGCAGTTGAGTGCTTGCTGCTCTTCTGACATCCACATCCACGTCTGACCTTCTGGCCTCTGGGGCACCCCACCCCCCACCCAACGATGAAAATTAAAACAAAACTGAAGATGAAGGCAGAAGCTTAGGAAGCACACAGCCGCAGAAGGCTGGGCCCCTTCATGTGTTCCCATTGCCCAGCAGCCACACTGACCCTTTACTGACAGTGCTTTCTTGCCTACAAGAGATTGGATCATGAAGTTGTCTGGAACTCAAAAGGTCACATTCTTCACTAATACTGAAAACATCTCTGATCCCTTCAGTTACCTCTCCTGAATAATATTTCCTTCATCATTTTAGTTCCTCCTCTCTATTTTCAACTGATGTGGGATTCCCCTCTGTATGCTGTGAATACCATTGATTAATAAAGAAACTGTCTTGGGCCTGCGCAGGGAATAGAGGTAGGTGGGGAAAACTGAACTGAATGCTGGGAGAAAGAAGGCAGAGTCAGGGAGAAGCCATAGAGCTACCTCCAGAGACAGACATGCTGGAACCTTGTCAGTAGGTCACGAGACTCATGGTAAAATATAAAATAATGGAAATGGGTTAAATTAAGATGTAAAAGCTAGCCAATAAAAAGATAGAACTAATGGGCCAAGCAGTGATTTAATTAATACAGTTTCTGTGTGGTTATTTTGGGACTGAGTAGCTGGGAACCAATAATTGGCCTGTTACAACATTCAGAGGCTGCAAAATTCAAGACAATGCCCCTGCCCACAACCCCTGCATTTCGACCAAACCCAGGCAGCTCTGGGAGCTGAAAACAGTCCATGTGACCAGAACAGAGTTCAGTTATTTGTGGTTCTGCCACGTGGTGCGCCTGGCCCCTTCCCCAACACAGCTTTCTATCCCCCCACTTCTCTCTGATGGCACGAAAGGCAGAAATTAGGGGAGAAGAGCTGGGAGCCCCACAGGCATATATTCTGAAGTGCTACAGCCAGAGGAAGCTGATCCCATCCAAGATCTCAGCTGAGACACCAACCCTGAGGCAACTTACCCACCCCAGGTTGCTTCAGGAATTTCACACAGTTAAGTAAGAAATAGAAGACACACTACAGAAGCATTAACTGCAACTTTAACACAGCATGCCAACACAGAAGGGACAGGCGGCGCCAGTTTAAAACACACTGTGAGGACCTATGCACTAACAGCACAGGTTACAGTTCTGCTGAAGCAGTCACTGTCACGTGAGCTGCTAGTCTTTACTGACTGCAGCGTTTCCCATCGCCTTGGTTAAGTTTAAAATGGTCTTCTGACATCTTTGAAACTTTAGGGGACTCTTAGCAGAAAAACAAGTTATTAACAAGCAAATTCATTTTCTGTCTCACATGCTATCCAGCATTAGGAGCCTGATTTTCACAAGTACGATTTACTTCAGTGATTTTGTTCCAAAGAAATTCAAATAAGGGCAAAGAGTGATTTACTCTGAAGTAAAAGCTTAAGAAGCAAGTACTGTGAGCCCATTCAGCAGCAGCTGCCTGTGATCCGCCCTGGGGGACAATGGCCAGCTCTGCTACTAACAAAGACACTCTGCAGCTCTGTTCAGAGGCAGCGTGGGGAAGGGAGTGGGAGCTGGAGGAAGGGGGCTGGGCGCAGCGCAGGGACCCACCATCCAACTAAACATTAAACCTCCCCTGCTTCCTACCAGGGTCTTAGCAATTAAAGAAAGCCTTTCATAATGGAAAAAATTCTTTCATGAATTATGATATTTCCTTTCAGCAGTTAAAGTTTGTGTTTTTGGGGGACGAGGTGTATTTAGGAACACAGATGAGATGCAAAGTGGCCTTGAGTCATCTGACAAGAATGCCACACCACAAGCACTCAGGGGAACCTAAAGAGGAGGAAGCAAAGAAAGCCCTAGTCAGCTTCAGAGGGGGCAGCACTCCGCAGAAGAGGCTAGAAAACCCTCCTGGGCTGGCTAACACCAAGACTTCACAGATGAAAATATAAATTGCAGGAACCCGCTACCCTCGCTACACTTTTAAACTCAAGGAAGGTATTATTCCTTTAAAACGGCGGCGGGGCGGGCGCGGGCGTGTGGACGAACACAGGATAGACGGGACACGCGCAAAGGAAGGACAAGACACGCGGTTCCCACGTGGGTGTGTTTAATGGGGAGAGGGGAACACGATAAGGGCGGGACGTGCAGACACACAAGGGTAAAGAGAAAAGGGCCAAGAGAGCAAGAGAGAGCGAAACCTCGTGGAGCGCTTGCTTTTAACTGGGGGCGCAAGGTTATCTGGGAGTAATGGTCTTCACCTGGGCGCGGCCAGCGCGCACGCAGGTGATCCAGGAGAAGTCTGGGAGCTGTAGTTTCCAAGGAATAACAGAAGGAATATTTCATTTGGGGAAAAGATTTTTCTTTGAAGTGAGATTTAAGTTGAGAGGAAGCGACTTGGCAAAGTTCCAGTCTAAATTATTTCCTGAATGTGGTCTGGAGTGCCTCGGAACACTCTGACCCTCAGAACTACTTCCTGTTTTTCTGTCTAATCAAATTTTATTTATTTGTTTTCCTACGGACATTATATGAGACTTGATTTGTCTTTGTAATCTCATCCAATAATTAAATTCTATTTTCTCATCCGTGCATTAAGTATTTTGCTTACATATGACTGTGGCCAATATGGAAGTGAAACAATTATCTCACTGTTTCTTTAATGTGTAAGTTCCCTGGTAACTGGTTAAATTTAATGTGTAAGTTCCCTGGTAACTGGTTAAATTTAATGTGTAAGTTCCTGGTAACTGGTTAAATCTGAACATTTAGTCATAGTTCTTTGGAAAAAATATTGGCAACAGTTACAAACATACATAAAACACACACATACCATGGAAATGCTAAATCAAACTGAACGTGTACATGACTGCATGTAACTTGCAATTCTGACACTGTCTTGGAGGGCAGGGGCAGGGTGCAACCTTGAATCTTAGCAATGGAGAAGCAGAGGCAGGGGGTATCTTATAAGGTCCGGGCCAGAGGTATACATAGCAACATTCTGTCTCAAAAAATGAACAAAGAAATCTGTCCTGTCAATTTTTAGTATATAATTCATTGTTACGACTCAGCCATTATGTTACAGAGTAGACGTTTACAACTTACAGACTGGAAGTCACTATCATCCACTACTCTCTCCTGTGAAAACCCTAAAATGAGTGCTGAAGACGGAGAAGACAGGGGTGAGCAACACCTCACAGGGGGTGTGTGTTTGCAGCCTTGGGAGAGCTAACAAGCCTAGTCTACCCAGGCTTTAGAGCCATGCTCTTGAAGACAGCTTCCCATAGTGCAGGCCGGCCACTGTGACTGAGCAGAACTAGAAAGTCCTCCCACGCCTCACAGGTTTCAGCGGTAAACCAGAATACCATCTGACTCAGGCTTTTTGTTTTCTATGACTCAGAAGTCACAATAACATCACAGAGTGATCTCCATGAAAATCACTGTACATATACAGCACAAACCATATCATCAACATAAAACATGTAAGGTAATGTGGAAAACCCACTTAAAACATACTTTCTCTAATAAATTGTGTTTTGAGAAAAAAGTTACAGCCAGGCAGTGATGGCGCATGACTTTAATCCCAGCATTCTGGGAGGAAGCAGACGAATCTCTGTGGGTTTGAGGTCAGCTTGGTCTAACAGGCCAGCTAGAGACCCTATCTTAAAAAACAAAAAACAAAAAAAGAAAGAAAGAAAGAAAGAAAGAAAGAAAGAGAGAAAGAAAGAAAAAAAAAAAATGACACAGGGCCAGACTCTCCTCTCACTTCACACAGGAACTTTGTCCAAACAATTAGGTTACAGTTGAGTGACTAGAGATATTTCTTCCCCTCCCTTTTTTGTAGTGCCAGGAATTGGAACTAATGCACGGGAGGCACACTGATCCACAACTTTTGTCCCAGAGAGATCTCTTGGTTTTGTTTAGAGACACAGTTTCATTGTGTAGCTCTGGCTGGCCTTGAACTCTAGATCCCCCTGCCTCTATTCCTAAACACTGAAATTACAGGTGTGTGCTACCACACCTGGGTCCCAGGTTTCTTGTCTAAGGAGTTCAGAATTCTAGGAGGGGAGAAATAGGGTGAAGGTGGAAGGACAGAGGCCCTCTTTACCTCCCTCATCTCTCCCCTCAACTTCAGCCTGTCCTTTGTCCTGAGCCAGAAAGTCCTTACATTTGACCCAGTAATGACAGTGGGAAGTCAAAAACATACTTCAAACCAGTCCTGTAACTGAAGCCAACCTGCCCCACCAAAGCATCAAAGAAACTGGGCTGTCACGCTAGGGTACGCACCCTCGGGGCTCTTCTTCAAGACTCCGTCCTTTCTGGACTTTAATCCACTGCTCCAGCTGCTGCATTGAGTTCGTTCTCTGAAGGACTCGATCAGCTTCTGTGGCCAGGGGTCCTGCATTTGGGTGACTCCCACCCCGGACATCTGCCAAGCTGACGTTCACTGCTTTGCCATCTGAACTATTCACATTGATGGGTCTATAGTGCACGTTCTGAGGTGGGCAGGCTTGCCCACTGTCATATTCCGAGGGCAGAGAGTTCAACTTCACACTGTTAATTTTTGTTAATGGTCTCTCTTGGCCATCCTTCTGAAATCCATATTTCTCAGCTTCTAAGGCCCTTTTTTCCTCAATTTTGCTGATTTCCTTATTTTTCTGGTTGTTTTGGACCTCTGGTTTAATGAGAACTCTGTGGTTGGGGATGTTATTGGTTTCTTTAGTTGATGCACTTTCAGTTGTAATCTTGTCCACTCTGAAAGCAGAGGAGAAAACGGGAGTAAATAGACGGAACAGGTAATGTTACACCTCGGGCTCAGCCCAGGAAAACTTAACCTTCATGAGAACAAGCAAAGGAACTAACAGACTCAGAGAGCGTAAGCTGACACAGAATCTCAGAGTTGTGGCATTATCATGCAGGTAACTCCTTGAATGCAAGAAAAAAATCGTGAGGCAAAAGCTACTGAGGCAAGCGCCATGTGCTTCTGCCTGCCAACATCTGGAAGCACAGCAAATAATATTTCTCACCATTACCGGGGTCGGTCAATTGAAATAACAAATGGCTCTCAGTCACGAAGGCCAGCTCATCATGAGACAACCTTGAGTCTGGCTGTGGAAGCTGTTGCAACAGGAAATCATAGTCTGATGCCATCAAACAGCACAACTGTATGACTAACTCTTGTTTGTACATAAGAGGACCTGTGTGCGGCTTTATTTTCTGGAAAGAAGTTACTGAGTAGCCCAGATTGGCCTCAATCTTAAAATGATCCTCAAGTGCCATGGCTGCTGGCATCACAGGTGTCACACCCCATACCCAGACAGCAAGGGTTAGGAGCCATCAGTCAAGTTGCTGATGCTCAGTGGGCATCTTTTTTCTTAAATAAACAAACAAATAGCAGGATCTCACTGTGTAGGCCTGGCTGGGTAGAGTTCCCAGTGATCCACCTGCTTCTGCCTGGGATTAAGGTGTGTACCAGCATGCCCAGCTTCAGTGGGTATCTTTATTTCTTTGGGCAGGGTACAGCAGCTTACACTGCCTGTTTCCTCTTTGGTAAACTGAGACTTTCAGCAATGTCAGAGGACGGCTATGAGAACCCAACAGCTGGCAGGGCCCTACCGCCGTTGCTGTTCTAGCTTATCGAGCAGGAAGCTGCCAAGATCACCTCATTCAGCAAGAACTCACAGAATTGGCCTGCCTCCTGCATTTCAGCACACCTGGTGCTACTGTGAGGTCCCAATGGTGGTACTGTTGCTAACTTCTGGGATGTGTGGAAAACATACATAGTCACACGTATGTACCTACGTTCAACTCTTAGTGAAGAAACAGATTGTACGGACATTCTGGCAAGGGGCTCTAGCAAGAGTGAAGTCACACACTGAACACATACAAGTCACATATGAACCACTGCTTCCAAATCAGACCTAGCAGCAGTCACAAGGCAGCCTACAAAGATAGGCTGTGGGGCTTCTTCCCTTCAAAGAGTAAACCACTAAGAAATTGACAGCAAACATTTACTGACGTCTACAGGGAGAGGTTGTTTAACAATGAACGCTGAGTATCTTAAAAAATGTAAAACGAAGTCCAGTCAACTGCAGCTACTGTTTTAGGCTAGAATTGTAGTATTTTCCCCAAAGGTTTATCACTGGAGAGAAGTAAGGCTGTATGATGCTTCCTTAAATGGAACAAAACTGACTCAAAAAACTATGAGAACATAAACCAGGAGAAATGTCCCTGACTTAAGAAAGTGGTACGTAAGCCAGAACATCAAAGACATAGGAAACCTCTCTGGCCATTAAGACAAAGGGTACTACTATAGGGGTTCTTCCAAACCAAGAAACAGAGCTGCTATCTGAAGACAGGCGTGGGAATACACACCTCAACCCCAGTGCAGTCAGGAGGACCGCAGCTTAAGGTCATTCTTTTCTACGCTGAGTTTGAGGTCAGCCTGGGCTACATGAGACAGTGACTCAAAACATTAAAACTAAGGAAAAAGGAAAGAAAGGAAGAAAAAGAGAAAGGAAGAGAGAAATGCATTATGATCCAGCCATCCTGCTCCTGGGAACCCATCCAGTCAGTCTGGTGAGGAGATTCCTGCACTTACATGCTGTAATACAGCACAACAATCTTCACAAAAGTCAAGAAATATAATGTATATATCAATGGATGGATACAGAATTTCTAACATTAACACACACACAAAATGTGGCCATATGAATATCCCAGAGTTCATTATGTTAGTGAAATATGCCTGATCCAGATAGATAAAGATCATAGCCTCACATTTACACTCAGAATCTAGAAATATTGACCTCAAAAAAAAAAAAACAAAAAACAAAAAAACAAAAACAGAAAAGTAGTTCCACAGCCAGGGAGGAGGGGCAGGGAAGGGGTAGGCGGAGAGAGAGGATTAGATAGCAGAATAGGAGGAGACATTTCTCTATCTTAACAGCATTATAAGGCAACTATGGTTGGTAATGATTTTTCAAAATAACTAGTATGGATTTTTTAGTGCCCTAGCAAAAGGAAATGATCCATGTGAGATGACATCTGTGCTAACTACCCCAGTCTGATACTGCAGTGTATACATGGGAAATGTCCCGTGTATAATTACTATACTATAGCAACATGTGCAATTACTGTATGTCAACTGACAATAAAAATACAGGGCTGGAGGTATAGTTTAGTGACAGAGATGGTGTGCTTGCCTGGCATGAGAGAGACCAGGGGCTGGATGCCTAGCATACACACACAAAGTAAAAACACTGAGGGGGCTGGAAGGAGATGGCTCAGTGTTAAGAGCACTTGTGGCTCTTCCCAAGGACCCAGATTCAATGCCCCGCACCAACGTGGAAGCTCCCAACTGCCTGATTCTGGTTCCAGGGGTCTGATGCCCTCCTTGTGGACTCTGTGGGCACCAGGCACATTTGGAGTACACAAACTCAGTGTGTTTCTTTTACCTTTTTGAAAAGATTATGAGTGTTTTGCCTGCAAGCCTTACAAGCATGCTGCAGTTCTAAGTTGTTTCGGAAGCTGGTGTCATGAGGGCGCATGGCCCACTGGACCCCATCTTTTCTGTATGTGTTTGTCTTTTCTTCATTTCCTAGTCACCCCAGTCAGGTTGTTAGACCCAAGCCTTGCAGGGCTCAGTAGTGGATGTTTGGGGCTGGGGATGTAGCTTAGTGGTCGAGTACTCACCTAACATACAAGGACTTAGGTTTGGTATCCAGCACCACAACTCTGCCTTCCCCCACCGGGCTGTTTTATCTCTTAGCTGATATGCTCTGGTTGTTTTAAGTATTGGAGTCACAAAGCAAAGAAACCCCATTACTTTTACTTCAATCAAACAAAACATCTCACTGGATTTATGAAATTAAATATCAAAGTAAGATGCTTTCAATCTTGAATGTCTAAACATAATGGAGCCAACAGCTCAGAGTAGAAGAGGGTGTGTTACACTGTGGTGTGACAGTGACTGACAGTGACTGACACCTCCCGGCGGGGCTCAGAGGAGGTGTCCAGCTGGCTAAGGGACAAACCACAGTAACAAAACTGCCTGCAAACCCATTATGGGGTCACGAATAAGTGACTCATCCATATCTTCTCCTTGCCTTTGGAGGCCAGGACAGGGCAGGAGATCCCTGAAACTCGAATCACAGATGACTGTGAGCCTCCCTCTGTGTGGCTACTGGAAATCAAGCCTGAGTTCCCCGAAAAAGTAGTTAGTACTGCTCTTAATAAGCCATCTCTCACACCCTCTAGGTGCTGGGATTGCAGGGGTGCACCACCACGCTTGGCTCCCCTCTAGGTGCTGGGATTGCAGGGGTGCACCACCACGCTTGGTTCCAGTTGTTAGACTAGTAAATTCAACAACAAAAAATGGAAGTTGAAACTGCAAAAAGTATAACATAGAGTATAGAAACTACTTGAAAATAAAATACTCTAATTTCTATATTTTAAAAAATTCCTAGAAGCTTTACTTAGAGATAAATTTGCATATTTTCAATTTTCTTTCTAAGTACAAGGTGAAAGAGAAACAAGATTAAAATCGATTCTCTGTTTTTTTCTCTCAATGTAGTATGGTAAGTGGGTGTGCATGTTGTATGTGGATACGGTGACTTCTCATTCTATTTATTATAATTATGATTAGTATTTTTCTTTCTTTCTTTCTTTTTTTTTTTTTTTTTTGAGACAGGGTTCTCGGTGTAGCCCTGGCTGTCCTGGAAGTCACTCTGTAGACCAGGCTGGCCTCAAAATCGAGATCTGCCCATCTCTGCCTTGAAAGTGCTGGGATTAAAGGCATGTTCCACCACGAAGCCATTTTTCTTTCTTTCTTTCTTTTTTTTTTTTTTTTTTGAGACAGGGTTCTCGGTGTAGCCCTGGCTGTCCTGGAAGTCACTCTGTAGACCAGGCTGGCCTCAAAATCGAGATCTGCCCATCTCTGCCTTGAAAGTGCTGGGATTAAAGGCATGTTCCACCACGAACCCACTATTTATTATTTGTGTGTGTGGGGGGGGCATACATTCACGGTGTGCATATGGCGGGCAGAGGACAATACTGTAGAGTCATTTCCTTTGCCTGTGGGTTCAAGACTGAACTCAGGCCATCAGGCGTTGGAGACAAACACTTTTACCCACACAGAACACTCACTGGTCCTGGCCCTGAAACATCCTGCCTCCACCACCCTAGTGCTGGGATGCCAAGGACTAGGACTGTGGCTTTGGTACAGCACTTGCCTAGCATACACAAGGCACAGGCTCTGGGTCTGACCCTTAGCACAGCCACCATCACCAGCAAACCCAGAACCTGTTCCTTTCCATACTTGGGTACCTGAGTGAGGGTTTGGGTTTTAAAAACAATAGTACAAATAAGAGTCGGGCTTGGTGGCAGAAGACTTTTATGCTGGCACTTGGGAGATTGAGGCAGGGGAATCTTTATCTTTTTGAGTTTGAGGTCAGCTTGGTCTGCATAAAGAATTCCAGGACTTGAGGAGCTACGTGGAAAAAAAAAGTACAAATATCTAATAAAGCCTCAATTCAGTCTTTCAGACAACATGCCAAAAGACTACTAAAATGCACACTGAAGTAGTATGCATCATGGGGCTTGGTCTCTAAGTGGGAGACAGACAGACAGACACACACACACACATCCCTTTAAATGTACGCACTAGCAGTTTTCTTATATAAGATGCGAACTTAAGTATCATTGACTGGAAACTTTAACTAAACTATAAACCTTAAAATAATAGCAAGTTTTAAGGAGCGTATTCCCCAACAATTGGCAGGCAGAGGCAGGTAGATCTGTGAGTTCAAGGCCAGTCTGATTCACAAATCAAGTTCCAGAACAGCTAGGACTACATAGAAAAAACCCTGTGTCCGGGGGAAAAAGAAAGAAAAGCCTATCCATTCAACCTCTATTTTTGCAGTTTGAGACACAAATTTTCTTTGATTAGGTCTGCTTCTTTTTGAAACAGGGTTTTGTGATGCAGCCCTGGCTGGCTTTGAGCTTGAGACTCTTACGCCTATGAATGCCTGGATTATAAGTGTGTGCCATGGGCCAGTGACAACTCAGTGGGTGGATGCTAAGTGTGGTCACTGGGACCCATGCACCGAAAGGAAGAGCAGCGACTCCTGAAGCTGTCCTCTTGCCTCCACAAGAACACTGTAGCGCATGCATGTGCACATACATGTGCGTGCCACCATGTCTGGTAGGCTGATTCTCAGTATAACAGGTAACATTAATATGACCCATTATCTTCAAGCAAACAAGTCTAGGATCAGTTTTAGCCAGGAATCTGAGCACTACAGTTTTAAAGGAAAGGCTCAACTCATCAAGTAGTAGACATATTTAGAAATAATTTAAATGTTCTATGAACTATTTTCTGGAGTTTAATAAAATAATCAGAATTAGCCAGAAAATAGTAAAAAAATAAAGCTTATCAGAATTTTTTATTGTTATTTATTTCCCAAATACCAATACAAGATAAGAACACAATAAAATTAACTGCATGAAATTAACGTCTATAATTTAGGCTCTTAAAAAAAAATTCTCCCATGAAGCGCACAAATCTGTATAGCTTTAAGGTAATAAGAAGATGTACTCACCGGAAATTAAAGGTAATTCTGTAAGAAGAAAGAACATTCAGGTTGAATGTTAGGATTCTAGAGTAACCCATGCACACTGACAGATGAAAATGAGGCAAGAAAAAAGGCGAAATAAAAGTGCAGGTGGGGTCTTCACTGACAAAGGCCGTGAAAGAGGCCAAGAGAAACCCATGCACTGTGACAATGGCATTGGCAGGGAGGACTACCATGGGGGCTGGGCCGTTGCAGCTTCCCTGCAAAGCTGTACCTTTTCACAGGCTCTGTCTGCACCAGGGCAGCATCTAACATGGCCTTCATCCACAGCTCCATCTCCTTCCCTGTGTCAGTGCAGAAATAATAGGTCCGCATGTTCGGATGGGCTGCCTGAGTGGAAACGACACCAGCACTTGATCATGACACGCAATTCTGAAAAAGAGGAAAAAGCGGCTCTGTAGCTATCATTACTACGGAATTTCAGAGAAAGTAGACTTGTCTTCTACATAAGACACAGACATGACTTAAGAGAGAACATACATACTGACCCCAGCAGCTACATTAATTATCCTTTGAATGTTTCTTCAATTGCCTATACCTCAAAGCTACAAAAACACGTGTTCTAGGAAGTATGTTCAAAATACACCTGTGGGGTCTGTCCCACTCACTCAACTCCAACCATTTTAATTCGGTGCAGCCAATATCTTCCCATTCAGGGATAATATTTCTAGCCAGGCATGACATTTGAGAGGCTGAGCGTGACTCTTAGGCCAGCCTGGTCACATGGTGAGTTCTAGGACAGAATGGAAACCCAGTCTCAAAAAACAAAATAAAATAACACAAAGGTGAGGTGTGCTTTAGAGAGTGAGCAGCAACAAAACGGGAAAGCCCATGCAAGCATTCTTGCTGCTCGGTAGCAATGTCTTTACTCTGTAAAAGCAATGCTGTTTGCGCCTTTTAGAGATGGTGTATGAACATGTGTGCATAAATGACTCCAATGGCATTTCCTTCTAGGTTTTCTTTCCAGGTTTTCAAGTTACAAAACTGCAAACACCTGCAGTTTGAGAGGAGGAAAACCCCCACTGGGGTCTTTGTCTATGGTGCACCTTTATCAGAAAACCGGGAGGAAAACAGCGTAAGGACACTGGCAAGATCACTACTGTGGGAGGTCACTGCACAGACACGGCAAAATACAGCAGACAAGCGTGGGATGAGCAAACAGTCGCAAGTTCCACTTAGAAACCCTCTGGTTACTTCTCATTAGACACCTGAAGACTTGGTCGAATGAATAAAGGTCGGTTAAGCAGCTGATTGCTAAGTAGTAAACTAGGCCTCTACATCTAGAATCACACCCTTCCCGTCAACGTCTTGTATCTACTTTCTCCCCTAGAGCAAACCGGCTTAACATCTTTAGAATACTTACAATACACATATAGCCAATAAGCAGCGGCCACTGCAATGTCCTAACTAACAGATCTCCACGGTGAGGTCAGAGGTAACTGCTGAAGTAGCCCAAGACACAGTTCAAGTGCTCTGGTGCCGAAACAATCAGCAGTCACTGGACTCTCGGGAGTGGGTTTTGGTAACACTGCCCATATCTGTGATCAGTGGAGGAAACTGGGCCGGTGGTGGGAAGATCCTGTCCCCACCCTGAGACAACAGAAGCCAGACCATGCATGCACACAGCCACCCCACCATGCACTAGTTCAGAAACCGGGGAGTTCCTACTTACCATGCCGATAAGAGCAGACTCAAAGTCAACAAATGCGGTCATATAGTAGCTCAAAATTTACGGGAAACACCACAAAAGAGAAGTTAAAAGAATAATTACTATTGTTACAGGCAAAAGAAAACCAAAACTAAACTAATAGTTATAGAGAAACTATACCAGACCCACAGAAGTTGTGGCCACTTCTGTGCTACTTTAACTTTGTAGATTTTTAAAAAACATTCTTTAACTGATTTTTATTACTATTACTTTTTAAGTTCTTATGTGGTACTGTTTTGCTTGTGTCCATGTCTGTATGTTACATGCAAGCAGTATTCTCAGAGGCCAGAAGAGGGCATTGGATCCCCTGCACTGAAGAAACAGATCTTGTGATCTGCCATGTGGGTGCTAGGAACCACACCCAAGTCCTGTGTGCGTTCAACTGCGGAGCCTTTTCTCTAGCCCTGCAGAATGCTTTTCTTTGTGGCTGTGAACCTAGCCTTTAACAGCTGAGACATCTCTCTAGCCTGCCTTTTCTTTTCATACTGCAGTTTTGTTTTTTTTTTTTTTTTTTTTAAGGAATTTAAGAGTATAGATAAAATTTCCCTCAAAGAGAAAAAATTTCAATAAACATTTACTTAATTTATTAGCAGATAAAAAATTTAAGCTTATGGCCAAGTCAGTGTGAGCACTGCAGTTCTAGACATGTAATTACAAAGGTCTTATTTGAAGTCACTGCATTCGGTGCTTTTGAGATGCTGGAAACTGAACTAGGGCCTTATGCACAGGAGACGCTTTGCCACTGAGGTACACTTCCAGGTCCCGATTTTATTCAATTGCTCCTCATGCCACCATGCTCTATACACTAGCTTGCTGTGCTAGTTGACTCACACTTGAGGCTACTCCCTTGCACTCGGGCCTTGCTCTAGCATCACCTTCTCACCCTGCTTAAGCCTTCCTCTGCTTTTAGCTTCACAGTTAATAACACTAATGAAATATATGAATTAGCAAAAATTACACACCAGTGCATTCTTAAGTATTCTTTTAAATGAAGTTTAAAATTATATGCATTTTGGAAAGACACAAGCATTTTCATTGATAGTGTATTTTGTCATTTGTAGCTTTATTCTTTTTTAAAAAAGATTTATTTTCTTATTTATTATGTATACAGTGTTCTGTCTGCATGTGTGCCTGCACGCCAAAAGAGGGCACCAGATCATACTATAGATGGTTTTGGTCACCATGCAGTTGCTGGGAATTGAAATCAGGACCTCTAGAACAGTTGCCTATGCTCTTAACCTCTGAGCAATCAATCTGTCTAGCCCCTGCACCTTTACTCTCAAAACAAAATTTCCACATTAAAATTTGTCACGATTATTAAAAGTATATATAACCAGGGAAAAATAAAACAAACCTCAAACCCAAGATGGGTCACCTCTGAAATTTATTTTAACCATAACCTTAAAGCAAAGAATGTGTTTTTTGTAAAACAGAAGTTCGCCACTAAAGCAGCATTAAGGTGTGCTTTCACAGCAGCAGTAGCACAAGATGAGTGGGTGAGTGATGGCTTCCGCGGGGGCGATGAGCATTATGCACTTGAGATCGTCTTTGAGACTCATATACAAATCTGTAAATATGTCATGAAGAGACCCTTCTCCAATGCTCTTCCCATATAGTCCATCTGACAAAATTCAAATAGTAACTGAGAGAACAATGCCCACTAGTCTATCTAGCCACAGTCCTCCATCGTGTTTCCTCTGTCATGCTTGTTCTGTAGAGAAAATTTGAAAACACAGCCTGGACTATGTTAGCACGCGCTTCCTACAATAACAGTATTCACTGGCATGGCTGTACCATCACTAACCAATGAGCTTTTTAAATTTTTTTTTATTTTATGTGCATAAGCATTTTGCCTGCATGTCTGTCTATGCCAGAAAAGGGTATTGAGTCCCTTGGGACTGGAGTTACAGATAATTGTGAGCCACCACCAATAAACTTTAAATGTAAACCTTACTACCAGGAAGATCTTCCTTTACAATAGTTTATGGCTCAGCATCTGTTTTAATTTTCCCTATTTTTAATTTCTTTCTTTCCTTCTTTCTTTCTTTTTGTTATGAGCCTAGCCTTTAACAGCTGAGCCATCTCTCCAGCCCCAGCAACTATTTGCTAGTTTCACAGGGTAACACACCACGCTCCTTTCCTTACCTTAAATGCATACTTGCGATTGATGTGGTCCTCAGAGGTAAGCATGGCTATCTGAAAACTAGGCAGCAGGATGCTTCCCAGAATCCCCTCTTCCTTCTCATCTAAACACAAGTTAAGTGTTTCATTAGAATTTTTGTTCTTTGGGAATTTCGCCACTCACCCTGTATCCTCACACATATCCCCTCCCTCCCCCCCAGCTCTAGTAGTTCATGTTGTTTCCCATCCTCCCTGGACTGGCACTCAGAGGTGGAAACATGTACAAAGATATGTTAAAAGATATGTTGACATGAAAAAGTATTTCCAATATGAGATAGAAGTTGCATAAATTAAAAGCTATGGAGCTTCAGGATTGACTTTACTAATAGCTAAGACATACAGTGAAGCTGGTGTATTGAGCAGCAGATCTATAAAGCAAGCACATAAACCACACTGAGGAAACGACTGAACATTCATCTCCCACAAAGAGCTTGTTGTTTGGAGATGTCTGAGAAACCTGATACATTGTCACTGTTATGGATCCACCAGACAAGTTCATGAAGCCATGCATCTAGCTGATAAACTCATGTGTAGGTGCACTTTTCTGTCACACCAGATGCTTCCCAAACAACCACAGAGAGACTTATTATTAATTATAAATAATGAGCTGATAGCTCAGGCTTGTCTCCAGCAAGCTCTATACAACTTAAATCAACCCATTTCTACTAACCTATGTGCTGTCTCAAGGCTCATTTACCTCATCTGTGAACTTCCCAGGTTGCTTCTTCTGAGTCTGCCTTACAACCTCTCCAACTCCACCCTTCTTCTTCCCATCATTCTCTCTGCCCCCAAATCCTATCTAGTTACAGGCCAATCAGCGTTTTATTAACAATAAGAGCAACACCTATTTACAGTGTACAGAGATTGTTCCACAGCATTTCCCTCTTTTTGTCTACTTAAAAAGGAAGGTTTTAACCTTAACATAGTAAAATTATATATACACACACACCAAAGACAGTTATCAAGTAAGAATTAGTTACAATATCCAGTCCATTTGTATATGGCAAAATAAGAGAAAATATTCTACTTTTCATCTTATCTTGAACTTGTCTTGTTTAAAAAAAAAAAGGTATTGCCTTGTGGCAGAGTGTAGATAAAAAATATGGATTAATTTAAGTTATAAGAGCTAGCTAAACACAAGCCTGAGCCATTGGCTGAGCATTTATAATCAATAATAAGTCTAAAAAGGATAGATTATTGAATCTACTTTAATCTAAAAAACAACTGCTAATCTCAAAATGTTTTACATTAGTATGAATTTTGGTTAATTAATACAAATTTAAAGTTATTTTTGCTACATTATATGTATGTTTCTACTCTTGTTTGGGGTATTGTGTTTATGCAACTCATTTAAAAATGTAATGCATAATTTAAAAACAGTAATCAAATCTATAGTTATCAATATAATCAAGCTTGTAGTCATATTAGGTATGTTTTCAAGACTAAACATATATTTAGATAGATATATATGGTCTTCAAACACTTCAAAGACCTACAAAATATGGAATTTAAAGTATTTAATAACCTAAAGTTTTTCATGACAGTGAGACATGTCTGTTCCTGACAGCACCAGTCTGCTTCAAAAAATGATGGGCATGAAGAACCTCTGTATGGAGTTTGCTTTCTTCATGGCAAAAGCTAATCATTTGGGCAAAGAAACTGTTCTTGCCCTGATTGTTGACAGTTACTGTTCAAACTGAACCAGAAGAATGTTTTTTGTTTTTGTTTTTTTTTTTTAAAGTGGCTGCCAAACTTTGCCAAGACAAGGTAGGATAATCCTTCAAAATTCCCTGCTTCTCACATACGTCTGTCAGATATACTACGCCTGTAGGCAAAAGACAGATGTCCCAACATAACAAAAGAACTGTTTTGATGACTGTTCAGGTAGCCAGATGTCACTATTGCTACATAACGTTACACCCTTCTGTTTTTTTTTTTTAAGTTTAAGACTAAATAATTAGACTTATTGTTTTCCTTAGTTATAATAAAAGGCAAATTAGATGTAAAACTTTATACTCACAAAGATAAGAAAGCTGACTGGCCTATAGCTAGGAAGAATATCATTAGGAGCTGAATTAGACTAAGGGAATGCTGGGAAGGAGGAGAAGGAGTTGCCAGCCAGAATCAGAAGCAGCAAACTCTCAGATGCCTCTACAGATCTGAGAGTATGGCAATTAACAAAAGAGCTTCTAACACAGAGACATGCCAGCTTCCACAGCACCCAATAGCTGCTCCAAGAAGATGCATGGTTTCAAAAGACCTTCCTCCTCCAGGCTTTGCCTTTGGGTTTGGCAAAGCTACCCACGGCCTTCCACCTCTTCAACTTCCTAGATGTTTCACTCAGGGAATCCATCTTCTCATCCTGCCAAGACAGGGAGACTAAATCTTCCCCCGACATGAAAAATCTTTGGACCCTCTTATACTCAACAGCTAATGGCAAGCACTGCTTCTAAGACTGGTGTTCTCCAAGGACAAGGAGGAATTGCCTGCATAGCTAAAAAGCTACCTCATATCTGCTCATTTATCCCTCCCAGATCTGTCTAATGGCATTTGATAACTAAACGTACTGGCAGCTCATTATTTTATTTGTTAAGCTTCCTGCTAAAATACAGACAAGTGTGCCTCTTTAGCAGGCTTCAAAGTCCAGGATTTAACAGGTTTCATGAGTATCCTAAAAGTAATAGTCTTTTGCTATGACAGATACTTACAGGTTCCTGAAAAAAAGTTCTATTTTTGCATCAAAAATCAGGTCTGGCAACAAAAAAAAAAAAAAAAAAAAGAGTCTCCAGAGCCTATTTTAACCCCAACCAGTTTCAAGCACATTTTCTGGTCATTTCTGCTGTCTGGGCCAAGACAAAACTCTCCAGACAATGCCAACACCTGCACCAGTTCCTGGGACTTCATCATTGGTACCAACTCTCCTGGATCAAGGACACCTGCCAACTAAAATCTGGTTGTATCTGATACACCTGAGCCTCACCTATACAACCAGAGCACTTCTGACAGTTAATGACTTCCCATGGCTAGCCCCATTTATAGGGCCAATAATAACAATATTTTTTCTCCTAGCCACCTGCCTTCTCATCACCCTCAAAAAGCAGCTGCCTGAGGACTCCAGGCTGACAGTAAACTGGATGCCACTCCAGCCACAACTCTCGCCTAACGTGAGCTCACCAACTCCCAGCTCTCCCCTCCCCCATGTCGCCCCATGCCCACAGGAAATAGCCGGACTTGAGCCAATGGCCCTTTATCCAAAAAGGCCTAAAATGTTGGTCCTAAGCATCACCTCAGCTCTGTTACCCTTATACAAAGAGTCTGGAATGTAATACCAGGCTGGGAAGCCTCCTCCCTCTGGAAAACCTGCCAAGCACTGACCCCTCCCCCTAGGGAGGGTCAGGACCACTCCCATAGGCTATTTAGGCTGCCATTCAGAAAGGGAACACCAGATTCAGTCTAATCTGGTCTAATTGGAATATTCTGCGTTGGCAGAGAGACTCTTAGAAATATTCCTAACAGGTAGCACGAGCCTGCCCACATCCTAGCTATTTGGGAGGTGGAGCTGGATGGGTTGCTTGAACTCAGGAATTTGAGGTAACACTGTGAGAAAAAAAAAATACACTATGAGAGCTTGTTTTCATAATTTCCTAATGAGAAAAACCAGAAGGAATCTTTCATATCCATCAAGGAGAATGAAGGGGTGCATTTTCCCAGTAACCCCTGCAGGTTTTCAGTGCCAATACTAAGAGTCTGCTTTGTGTCTTTCATATAACCTTTTCCATGTTGGAAGAAAATGATCATTGATTTTTCAGCACTCTGGCTGAGGAAGGAAGTTCAAGTTCAAGGGTAGCTTGGACTAAGCTAGACTGACTGTCTCAAAAGAACAAAAACAAGCAACCCAAATAGATGCATAAATGTACACACACATTTATATCAATAATGCATTTTTTTTCATTTTCCAACCAATTATAATAATTCCTGACATTACACTCACTTGGATAAAATCACAGCTATGGGCAGTCTATAAATCCACAGCCAGAGCTCACAAAATTAACATATATAAAAGCCTTAGCTGGCAGTGATGGTCATGTCTATAATCCCAGAAGCTAGGAGGCTGAAGCAAGTTCACTGGTTCCAGGCTAGCTCCGGTACAGTGTCATATGCCAGCTCCAAAACCAAGTACCCAACCAAGGACTTTATCTCTAGGTGCCATATTCAAAGACAGAGTGGCAGACTATTCTTAAGCTCTTCGCAGAAAACAAAATCAGAATACAGGAAGTAGACCAAAATCACAGCAACCTTCAAGCCAGGTGTGGTGGCACACACCAGTAATGGCAGCACTCAAGAGGCAGAGGCAGATGGAGCTCTGTGATCTCAAGGCTAGGCTGGTTTACACTGTGAGCTCCAGCCAGGGCCACACTGTGAGACCCTGTTTCCACTCTGCTTCCAGCCCTGCTCTGCCTTCTGCCATACTCTAGGGACTCTGAACCTTGGCTTGGTGAAGAAAGGTTTTCTCGACATCATCTGTAAACAGCAACAGTATTCCTGTCTTTTAGGACACAGCTACTGCTTAGTACACACTGCAGTCATGGACTAAGATACTCAGCAGCTGATGAACTCACCTCTGTAATAAAACAGGCAAAGGTCAGAAAGCACAAACCAGCGTTTCTTCCACAGCTTCATGCCGGTACTGTCCTGCATTAAACAGCAGATTGAAGATACTTCTGATATACATTTTGATATGCATGTAACACAACCTAATTAAAAGGCCTATCAAAAAGTTCTGATCTGTTTGTTACTTGCATAGCCAGGTAACTCTAGCATGTTTCAAAAGGCCAGAAAAAATATTTCTACCACGAGAAAGGATGGATATTTGAGAATGCCGGCATGCTACCCTTGATTTGATCACAATACTTATATGTATGAAAGTCACATGGTC